CTAACTACATGATCAGTGTTCAGCTTGTGAGTTATGAGTTTGGGGCCTATACCGGGCATTTCTGCCGCGGACCATGCAAAAATATCTAAATTTTGAAGTAAAAAACTTACCAGTTCGGATCGTAGGGGCTCCTGGACGAAGGCGCCGATCTGGAGCGTCCGAGCTGGGTTTGCTGTTGAGGTCAGGACCGCGACTGTTTCTTCCGTGAGCGTGGCTCGTTCTTCGCCTTGCTCCGTGGGTCGTTCCAGCTCAAGGTAATCGGTCACCTTGGTTTTCCCCTTTAGGGCGGCAACGTAGCACTTGCGGGACTCGAGCTAGTCGCCCCGCGCCACTCCCACACCGAAGTCTGTTGGGAACTTCATAGCCAAGTGGTAAGTGGAGACCATCGCCCGTAAGACATGGGTGATCGGTCGACCTACTATGGCATTGTAGGGAGAGGGGGTTGCTACCACTAGAAAGTTGTGTTCGAATCTGACTACACAAGGCCATGTGCTGATCTCTACAGGTACTGTTATTTTCCCAAGGGGCCGAACCTCCTCTCCGCTGAAGCCTACCAAAGGAGTGTCTGCGGGCTTCAGATCGCTTTTCTGCAACTGGAGCTGGTCAAACGCGGCTTTGAAGAGTATGTCGGCCGAGCTGCCCGAGTCGACGAGTATGCGCCTAACCTCGAAGTCGTTGATTCTCACCTTTATTACGAGCGCGTCGTCGTGGGGGTAATGGACCCCTTGCACATCGTCTTCTGTGAAGAAAATTGGCTCTTCCGTTCTCGGCCGCTTTGGGGGGTTCTACTCCTTTTGGGCGACCTCGCGAACCGACGTCCGAGCTGCCGCTGAGGTGCACCCTGCAACGATCGAACCTCCCACTATCATGTGGATGGTTCCCCGAACTGGCCTCTCCTCTGGAGGTTGTCTCTGTGGTTGTTCGGCCGGCCTGCTACTGGACTCGGGAGCGTCTTTACTGTGCTCCCTTTGCCGACCTGTTCTGTTACTATTATTATTGTTATTATTATTTTGTACAAAGTTTATCAAATATCTGCGACGGATGAGCTCCTCTATCTCGTCGCAGAGGTTTTTACAACTCTCGGTGCTGTGTCCGTGGTCTTTATGAAAACTGCAATACATACTCTTATTTCTTTCACTGGGATTCCCCCTCAAACGGGGCGGCCACTTCACGTACGGGGCGTCCTTGATTGCCATTAGGATTTCGGCCCGCTTTGCGTTAAGTGGGGTGTAGTCAGCTCGGTCTGGTGCGGGAGCTCGGAACAACTGACTCGGCTTTGCTCCCCGAACTATCTCCTTTCTTCTTCGGGTGTCCTCTTGACTGGAAGGTTCCCCTTCTCTCTTTCTTTTTTCGGGTGCGCCCTCACCCTTATGGTTGATCTCCTCTTCAGTGGCTATGAACTTATCCGCGAGCTTTAGAAACTCGGTTATGGTCGCGGGTTGGTTGATGACCATGTGCCACTTGAACTCTTTGTGCTTTACGCCCTTCTTGGCCGCTGCTAGGCGTACGGTGGGGTCCAGGTGCGGTATCTACATACAAGCGCCGTTGAACCGCTTGATATAACTTCGGATGAACTCTCCCTCTCTTTGGGCTATGTTGAAGATGCTTTCTTCAATCAGCGGGCACCGCTTGCTGGTGACAAAGTGGGACGTGAAGGCTTGTGCGAACTGCGCCCAACTTCTTATCGACCCGGGTGCCAGGTTCCGGTACCAC